TCTTTTTAGGCCCCCAAGAGCGCCAGGTTTCACCTTCGGCCCACGAGAGCTCCAGGTTTCACCTCCTTTAGGCCCTCCGAGAGCTCCAAGTTTCACCTTCCTTTAGGTTCCGAGAGTCACCTCCTTTAGGCCCCCCGAGACCTCCAGGCTTCACCTTCCTTTAGGCCCCCCTTTAGGCCCCCGAGAGCTGAAGGCTTCACCTCCTTTAGGGCCCCCAAGAGCTCCAGGCTTCACCTCCTTTAAGGACCCCGAGAGCTCCAGGTTTCACCTCCTTTAGGGCTCCCGAGAGCTCCAGGTTTCACCTTCCTTTAAGGCCCCCGAGAGCTCCAGGTTTCACCTTCCTTTAAGGCGCCCGAGAGCTCCAGGTTTCACCTCCTTTAGGGCCCCCGAGAGCTCCAGGTTTCACCTTCCTTTAAGGCCCCCGAGAGCTCCAGGTTTCACCTCCTTTAGGGCTCCCGAGAGCTCCAGGTTTCACCTTGGCCCCCGAGAGCTCCAGGCTTCACCTCCTTTAGGGTTTCGAGAGCTCCAGGTTTCACCTTCCTTTAAGGCCCCCGAGAGCTCCAGGTTTCACCTCCTTTAGGGCCCCCGAGAGCTCCAGGTTTCACCTCCGGGCCCCCGAGAGCTCCAGGTTTCACCTTGGCCCCCCGAGAGCTCCAGGCTTCACCTCCTTTAGGGTTTCGAGAGCTCCAGGTTTCACCTTCCTTTAAGGCCCCCGAGAGCTCCAGGTTTCACCTCCTTTAGGGCCCCCGAGAGCTCCAGGTTTCACCTCCTTTAGGGCCCCCGAGAGCTCCAGGTTTCACCTTCCTTTAAGGCCCCCGACAGCTCCAGGTTTCACCTCCTTTAGGGCCCCCAAGAGCTACAGGTTTCACCTTCCTTTACGAGAGCTTCAGGTTTCACCCCCTTTAAGGCACCCGAGAGCTCCAGGTTTCACCTCCAGGTTTCACCTTCCTTTCAGGCCCCCGAGAGCTCCAGGTTTCACCTCCTTTAGGGCCCCCGAGAGCTCCAGGTTTCACCTTCTTTAAAGGCACCCGAGAGCTCCAGGTTTCACCTCCTTTAGGGCCCCCGAGAGCTCCAGGTTTCACCTTCCTTTAAGGCCACCGAGAGCTCCAGGTTTCACCTCCTTTAGGGCACCCGAGAGCTCCAGGTTTCACCTTCCTTTAAGGCCCCCGAGAGCTCCAGGTTTCACCTCCTTTAGGGCACCCGAGAGCTCCAGGTTTCACCTTCCTTTATGGGCCCCGAGAGCTCCAGGCTTCGCCTCCTTTAGGGCCCCCGAGAGCTCCAGGTTTCACCTTCCTTTAAGGCCCCCGAGAGCTCCAGGTTTCACCTCCTTTAAGGCCCCCGAGAGCTCCAGGTTTCACCTCCCTTTAGGGCCCCCGAGAGCTCCAGGTTTCACCTCCTTTAGAGCCGCCGAGAGCTCCAGGTTTCACTTTCCTTTAAGGCCCGCGAGAGCTCCAGGTTTCACTTCCTTTAGGGCCCCCGAGAGCTCCAGGTTTCACCTTCCTTTAAGGCACCCGAGAGCTCCAGGTTTCACCTCCTTTAGGACCCCCGAGAGGTTTCACCTCCTTTAGGGCCCCCGAGAGCTCCAGGTTTCACCTTCCTTTAAGGCACCCGAGAGCTCCAGGTTTCACCTCCTTTAGGGCCCCCGAGAGCTCCAGGTTTCACTTTCCTTTAAGGCCCCCGAGAGCTCCAGGTTTCACTTCCTCCCGAGAGCTCCAGGTTTCACCTTCCTTTAAGGCCCCCGAGAGCTCCAGGTTTCACCTCCTTTAGGGCCCCCGAGAGCTCCAGGTTTCACCTTCCTTTAAGGCCCCCGAGAGCTCCAGGTCCTTTAAGGCCCCCGAGAGCTCCAGGTTTCACCTCCTTTAGGGCCCCCGAGAGCTACAGGTTTCACCTTCCCTTAGGGCCCCCGAGAGCTCCAGGTTTCACCTCCTTTAGGGCCCCCGAGAGCTCCAGGTTTCACCTTCCTTTTAAGGCCCCCGAGAGCTCCAGGTTTCACCTTCCTTTAAGGCCCCCGAGAGCTCCAGGTTTCACCTTCCTTTAAGGTCCCCGAGAGCTCCAGGTTTCACCTCCTTTAGGGCCCCCGAGAGCTCCAGGTTTCACCTTCCTTTAAGGCCCCCCAAAGCTCCAGGTTTCACCTCCTTTAGGGCCCCCGAGAGCTCCAGGTTTCACCTTCCTTTAAGGCCCCCGAGAGCTCCAGGTTTCACCTCCTTTAGGGCCGAGAGCTCCAGGTTTCACCTTCCTTTAAGGCCCCGAGAGCTCCAGGTTTCACCTTCCTTTAAGGCCCCCGAGAGCTCCAGGTTTCACCTCCTTTAAGGCGCCCGAGAGCTCCAGGTTTCACCTCCTTTAAGGCACCCGAGAGCTCCAGGTTTCACATCCTTTAGGGCCCCCGAGAGCTCCAGGTTTCACCTTCCTTTAAGGCCCCCGAGAGCTCCAGGTTTCACCTCCTTTAGGGCCCCCGAGAGCTCCAGGTTTCACCCTCCTTTAAGGCCCCGAGAGTTTCACATCCTTTAAGGCCCCCGAGAGCTCCAGGTTTCACCTTCCTTTAAGGCCCCCGAGAGCTCCAGGTTTCACCTCCTTTAGGGCCCCCGAGAGCTCCAGGTTTCACCTTCCTTTAAGGCCCCCGAGAGCTCCAGGTTTCACCTCCTTTAGGGCGCCCGAGAGCTCCAGGTTTCACCTTCCTTTAAGGCACCCGAGAGCTCCAGGTCCTTTAGGGCCCCCGAAAGCTCCAGGTTTCACCTTCCTTTAAGGCCCTCGAGAGCTCCAGGTTTCACCTCCTTTAGGGCACCCGAGAGCTCCAGGTTTCACCTTCCTTTATGGGCCCCCGAAAGCTCCAGGCTTCACCTCCTTTAGGGCCCCCGAGAGCTCCAGGTTTCACCTTCCTTTAAGGCCCCCGAGAGCTCCAGGTTTCACCTTCCTCTAAGGCCCCCGAGAGCTCCAGGTTTCACCTCCTTTAGGGCCCCGAGAGCTCCAGGTTTCACCTTCCTTTCAGGCCGCCGAGAGCTCCAGGTTTCACCTCCTTTAGGGCCCCCGAGAGCTCCAGGTTTCACCTTCCTTTAGGGCCCCCGAGAGCTCCAGGTTTCACCTCCAATTCTGGTGCATTTTATGAAGGAGAACTACCTGGCAAGGCCTTCCAAGAGCTGGAAATCCTTATCCTGGTGCATTTTATGAAGGAGAACTACCTGGCAATGCCTTCCAAGAGCTGGAAATCCTTATCCTGGTGCATTTTATGAAGGAGAACTACCTGGCAAGGCCTTCCAAGAGCTGGAAACCCTTATCCTGGTGCATTTTATGAAGGAGAACTACCTGGCAAGGCTTTCCAAGAGCTGGAAATCCTTATCCTGGTGCATTTTATGAAGGAGAACTAGCTGGCAAAGCCTTCCAAGAGCTGTAAATCCTTATCCTGGTGCATTTTATGAAGGAGAACTAACTACCTGGCAAGGCCTTCCAAGAACTGGAAATCCTTATTCTGGTGCATTTTATGAAGGAGAACTACCTGGCAAGGCCTTCCAAGAGCTGGAAATCCTTATCCTGGTGCATTTTATGAAGGAGAACTACCTGGCAATGCCTTCCAAGAGCTGGAAATCCTTATCCTGGTGCATTTTATGAAGGAGAACTACCTGGCAAGGCCTTCCAAGAGCTGGAAATCCTCATCCTGGTGCATTCTATGAAAGAGAACTACCTGGCAAGGCCTTCCAAGAGCTGGAAACCCTTACGCTGGTGCATTTTATGAAGGAGAACTACCTGGCAAGAGCTGGAAATCCTTACCCTGGTGCATTTTATGTACATGGCAAGGCCTTCCAAGAGCTGGAAATCCTTATCCTGGTGCATTTTATGAAGGAGAACTGGCAAGGCCTTCCAAGAGCTGGAAATCCTTATCCTGGTGCATTGTATCAAAGAGAACTACCTGGCAAGGCCTTCCAAGAGCTGGAAATCCTTATCCTGGTGCATTTTATGAAGGAGAACTACCTGGCAAGGCCTTCCAAGAGCTGGAAATCCTTATCCTGGTGCATTTTACGAAGGAGAACTACCTGGCAAGGCCTTCCAAGAGCTGGAAATCCTTATCCTGGTGCATTTTATGAAGGAGAATTACGTGACTACGTGGCAAGGCCTTCCAAGAGCTGGAAATCCTCATCCTGGTGCATTTTATGAAGGAGAACTACCTGGCAAGGCCTTCCAAGAGCTGGAAATCCTTATCCTGGTGCATTTTATGATTGAGAACTACCTGGCAAGGCCTTCCAAGAGCTGGAACTCCTTATCCTGGTGCATTTTATGAAGGAGAACTACCTGGCAAGGCCTTCCAAGAGCTAGAAATCCTTAAGGAGAACTACCTGGCAAGGCCTTCCAAGAGCTGGAAATCCTTATACTGGTGCATTTTTTGAAGGAGAACTACCTGACGCAGGCTCTGCGCGCTGGACAGCTGCTGGGCTGAATGAACCGGAAGCACACAAATACCGTATTGCCATGCTGTTTCGACCTGTGAGCTTCTAGGCCCTTCAGAACATCACGGTCGGCGACGTCATCTCAGCCATGGGATCTGAAGCCCATAGTCACGAAGCACTGTCGCGGCAGACACATCTGGCAATCCTGATCAACGGACGATGGCAGCCAGAAGAGCAGCCAGTGGCCGGACCGTTTCTTCTCTTAGAAAAGCTGCCGCGATGCAGGCTACGGCACAAGCAGTCGCTGGCAGAACATCTGTTTCACGCCAATCTTCATTCGCTCTGACTCTCACAATTCCACAAAAACGGCCGGTCATGGGCTACTCGCTTCTTCTGTGCATTGTTGAGCCATGTTGCACCTCTTTCTTGAGCTTGTGGGAAGGTAGGGACGGCCGAGCCTTCCCGTGCTTTTTGTTGCTTGTGCAGCGTGCTTGGGCTCAATTCGAATCGTTTTAAAGTCTTCATCCGTGTCCCGCTGCGGCCAGGCAACCATTGGGGTACAAATCTCAATCGTCGCAGCTGTTCGTTTCGTTTTTGGAACATGGCCGCTGTCTTGTTTCTCAGGTCGACTGGTGCGACAGCATGCTCGAAGACATGTGCGAGGACTTGGAGAGCATAGACCACTCGATTCGCGACTCCGAACAGGCGGACTTCGAGGACGGGTTCGACGACTGGGACTGGGTCGACAGTGAGATGCAGCGCGAAGCCGAGGAAGATGCGCGTGAGAGAGTACAGTGGAGCAAAGAAATGGAATTCCAGAATGAATACCGCCAGCGTCTCGCCAACATGACGGTGAAGTACCTGAACATGCAAGGTAGCGAAATCCACACCTCGAAGCCTTATCCACTCTGCCATGTCGAACCGTGCGAATCTTCCCGGGAAGCCTGGCTGCACACTTTGCACGAAGGAAACAGCCCAGATCGCTGTCTCTCCCTGCGCCAACTACGTCTCAGACGACAAGAAATTAAGAAGCCTATCCTGGCGGAAACGCTGCAACATCGCAGCGCCAGGGAAGTCTTGCTTCACGATTTGGACAGCGGTCCTGCAGGACCCATCCCCCTCGACACCACGAAGCTGGTCTTGGGCGGGGACGTGATCACAGACACCTGGAGCTGGCGTGAACTGTTGGGTCACAGCTTGAGCAACGACGTCGTGCACGTGCAAGTTGTCTACATCTCAGAGAAAGCCACAGGCCCGTAGAGCTGCCCATGTGAGTACGTTATGTCTCAGCAAGACAAGCCTGCAGAGCTCCAGTGTGTGCCACGAGAAAGAAACTGAGCAGCGAGCAAAGGCAGGACAGCTTGGTAAGTGCTCGAGCATGGCTTCTCAAGTTGCTTCACTGAGCCTGCTTGCACTGCATTGACACGTTTGCACATTGCCGTGTTGTATCAGACCTCCAGGTTTCGCCCCTTGCCCTTGCAACCTGCAGGTTTCGCCTCTCGAGCACAACTGCATTGGCAGCCTTTCGGTCCAAGAACAGGTCTAAGCGCCGCGTCCAAAAACAAGGAACTCGCGCAGAGCCGATGCTGCACTTCCATTCAGTGAACGGCGAGCTGGCTCACAGCTGCCCCGTGCATGCTTGCGCCAGCCCGTCCAGCGACCTGGGAATCGAAGAAACGCTGAGAATCTACTTGCACCAACAGACAGGCACCCCGCGCTACCGAACCCAGTTCGTCATCGGCCAAAAGAAAGCAGACAACAGCCGTCCCTGGAGAAGATTGGTCCTTTGCTCTATGCTACAAAGACATCTCGACATCCAGGTCATCGTCCGAGCATATACTCAAGAAGGATTTGAGCACCTCTTAGACGCAGTGAGAAGGCAGGATGCCAAGCGGGTCAAGAACGTCCTGGAAGCTTTTGCAGATCCCAACATGTGTATGAGAAGAAGAGACATCGAGCCTATGTATGCTCAACCGCTACAGCTGGCTGTCCACTTGGAAGACCACGCAGTCGCCAAGATGCTTCTCTTTGCAGCGGCAGACGTCAACAAGCGGATCGGGCAGCAAGTCGACACTCCCTTGCTTACTGCCAGCCGAAACCAGGACTTGAATATGATGCAGCTTCTCTTATACTCCCACGCAAACCCCAACCTCTCAGACGTGCTGCAAAACCCACCCTTGGCGGTTGCCACACACAACCAAAATCTGAAAATGGTGCGGCTGCTCCTATGCTCCCGCGCCGATCCCAACCTCAGAAATTATAGGGGAGACACACCGTTGCACCACTGCATCAACCATGGCAACACCGGCGCCATCTCTTCCATGGCTATGCTACTCCGATTTCGCGCTGACCCTCGCGTCGAAAATCGCTGCGACAAGCTGACGCCGCTAGGCTTGGCAGTCCAGTGGGGCCAATCCAAACCAGCTCGACTGCTGCTGAAGCATCGTGCCCTCTTGCACGAGAAAGCAGCGTCCCGCAGTGCTTTGCACATTGCTGCCGAGAAAGGCAGCGCAGCATTTCTGCGGCTGCTAGTCGAAGCTAGAGCTGACGTCAACACAACCAACGCCAGCGGCCAAGTGCCGCTACAAGTCCTGCGGAGGCACCCTCATTTCCGAGACCGCGTCGCTTGCAGACACCTACTGAAGCAATGACCGCAAGAGTCCCACTCGACCTGCAGATGGTCTTGTAGATACTACTGCGCAAAATCAAATCTGCTTGCACAGACGCAGGAAAAGAATGCGATCCGGTACTGCAAGAAGGGATGGAGGGCCCTCTTGAGCTTCTGCTGTGAAATGTTCAGCTTTGACGAAATCCGTGCAGCTTGCATTTATCGCTGTAGATTGTATATAGATTGTATTGTAGACCCTTCACACGCACATCCCGTGCATCCCAGCCATGGCACCCTGCTGCAGTCGATGCGGCAACATACGCGTGGGCCGCGGAAGAGGCAAGCCATACACTGCCCGAGCAGTTTTGTGTGTGACCAGTGCTTGTGTTTCGCATCGTCAGGCTACTGCACCAACCTACAGCGCCGACAAGAAGAGCAGCAGGAAAATGAGAGGGAGAAGCCTGCAGATCCCCGGAGTGAGCCACGAGAAAGAAACTGAGCAGCAAGCAAAGGCAGGACAGCTTCTCAAGTGCTTAATCATTGACTTCTTGAGTTCCTTCACCGAGCTTGCTCGCAGCGTTTCGGACGCAGCCCTGTAGCTGCAAACAGAGAACTGTAGATCTACAATTCGTTGCCATGGCCCCTTGTCATCGGTGCGACTTTGGGACAAGGAGAGGCAGAGGACAAGGATGGTGCAGCAATCCACAATGCCGCCAAGCCGAACAAGAAGAGCACCTGGCCCAGAAGAGTGCAGAGAAAATGGCTCGGCAGCAACAGCGTGCGGCACAGGGAGCGGGAAGCCGTGGACCCTTGCGCGAGGAAGACAGCAAGAAGGAAGAGCGCCGACAGCTGCATGAAACAAGGGCACGGGCAAAGGCAGAGGAGGGAGCAGGCAGTCGTGGACCCTTGCATGAAGAAGACAGCAAGAAGGAAGAGCGCCGAAAGCTGCATGAGACAAGGGTACGGGCAAAAGAAGAGGAGGGAGTGGGCGGCCGTGGACCCTTGCGCGAGGAAGACAGCAAGAAGGAAGAGCGCCGACAGCTGCATGAAACAAGGGCACGGGCAAAGGCAGAGGAGGGAGCAGGCAGTCGTGGACCCTTGCATGAAGAAGACAGCAAGAAGGAAGAGCGCCGAAAGCTGCATGAGACAAGGGTACGGGCAAAAGAAGAGGAGGGAGTGGGCGGCCGAGGACCCAGACCCATTGCCTCGGAGATTCAGCAGCAGGGCTACCCTTTTCCAGACGAGGACGCCTTGACCCAGGAGCAGGCGCAAGCCCAGTACTTGGCTTTCGCGCGGGGCTGGAGTAGATTTGGCCTTTCTCGCGTGTGCCAGAAGTGCCAGACTCTAACGCCAGGGAGGCACTGCAAAGCGGCCAAAGGAAGTGGCCAGCTGCTCTGCAAGAATTGCCGCGAGAATCGCACCAAGGTGGTTTTGCCCATCCCGGCCCCCATCCCAGAAGCACTGCAAAGTCTGCAACCCATCGAGCAGCATCTCCTCGCCATGGCACGCATCTCGCAGGTCTTGTTGGACAAGCTGCCATCAGGCGGCCCGAGCGCGCAGTGGGGTCGCATGTACGCAGTGCTCATGCAGGATCCCTTCATCTGCGACGTCCTCGAAGGCGCCACTTTGGAAGAAGACGGTACAGTGTTGGTCGAGGGCGTCGACGGCATGACCGCATCTCCGGCGCGTCTGGAGCACCTGCACGCAGCCTTGCAGGCCTTGAAAGAACTGCACTGCCTCTATCAACAGAGCCCCGCAGTGGACAGAGCCTTGGCGAGAATGGCTGCCATCCTCGCCACCAAGAGATCCGCTGCAGCTGCGTTACCAGCAGAGCCACTTCCAGGAACAGAAGCAAACCAAGAGATCGAGATGACGTACCTGGTGCCGAAGCAGTTCCAAGCCCCCAAAGCCGACATTCATGATTTGCGAAAAGTGCGAGGATCCGCAGACCTCAGTGATGGCATGGATGCCAAATTCTTTCCACACTTGTTTCCCACCGGCACAGGAGGCTGGCAGAACGACAACGGGAGCGTTTCCAAATATGCCCGAAAGCGTCTGCTGAGCGTGGATGCCCGCTTCGAAGCGTCCACGGCCTACATCATGTGGCTTCTGGAGATGCAGACCAAGAAGCGACTTTCCGGAAACATCAACGTCCGGATCGGCAATCAGCGGACGCCCTATGGCAGTAGCGACTATGAGAACGGTAGCCGTCAGGTGTACGCTGCCTTGCGGGACATGCCTGGCACCCAGCCGTACCTCTATGCCAAGAAGGGGGTGGCGCTCAACATGTACGAGCAGCTTGGCGCTCCCAACTTCTTCATGACACTGTCCTGCCACGCGCGCCAGCCTGCCATGCTCCTTGCCGCTATCTCGGCACGGCTGCTGCGGCTGCATCCCGACCGCCCTCATGCAGAACTGGAGAAACACGCTGCAGAGATCCTATTCCGCTACCAGAATGACAAGAACTTCACTTGGGACGGGTTGTCGCCCAACCAGTTGTGCAACCAGCAGCCGGCGGTGGTAACGCGACAATTTATGCACCAAGTCTCTCAGCTGATGTGGTGGCAGTCCAGCACGCGCGGTCCACAAGTCCACCTAGACGAAGATGCTGATCCACAAGATGGAGTCGAGGAGAACGACTGCGAGGACGTGGAGGACGACGCCCAGGCACCCGCCACGGATTTTGCAGGCCTTCATCGCCGCATGCGCAAGGAACGGCCTCCTTTCAAAGTCTTGGACTACATCATTCGCATAGAATGGCAAAAGCGGGGCTACCCCCACGCTCACATCCTGCTTTGGATCGAAGAGTGGGCCAAAGCAAAGCAGCAGCCAGACAAGATGGCGCCCGACGGCGAAGACTCCGAACAAGCAGCGGAGACACCGGTTCCAGACTGGTCTGACGAAGAGGCCATGGAGAACTTCATCCCCAAGTGTGCGGAGGACCTCAGCGACAAGTACATCTGCACCAAGTCCCCGAACACGTGGCGCCAATCCCACCGCGTACCACCCAGAGATAGAGAAGTGAACGCAAAGCTGTCCGCAGAGGTGGTGCACAACCACACGCCATATTGCGGCATGTACTCAGAAGGTGCCTGTCGATTCGGGTTTCCACATGATGCAGAGCCCCGGACTCGGCGTCGAACATCGCAGGAGCAGTACGCCAACAGCCGCTGGAAGAGCAGCCTTGCGACGAGACGAGTGAAGGGAGACAGCATGATGGGACAGTACAACATTCGAATCTTGAGAAGGTGGAGGGCAAGCATGGACCTGCAGGTCATCTGCGAGCTCACCAGCGCCAGTCGGTACATACTGGGCTACACTTTCAAGTCGGAGGAGGATCGCGAAGCGCAGCGGCGCGTGGAAAACATCCTTGCCCATCTAACAAGTCAGAGCGCGGGCGCAGGCCTCGACAATCAGAAGATCTACAGGGCTGCCCACGCGGCGTTGCAGGGCAGGACCACGTCGACCTTCGAGGCATGCCACCTTCTGCTGGGCTTCCCAATCATCGAATTCTCCAGAGACAGCGTCTGGGTACAGGTAGGGCCTCCCCACACCTGGACTGTGTGGGTGCCCAAGCACGAGGAACACGTGGCCTTGCAGCAGCCCGTCGACTACCGCAACAAGAAGATGCGCCGAGATGGGAACCTTCCTGTTGCTCATCACTGGTACCGCGAGATGCAAACCACCTTCGGTGAACATGAGACGACCTTGCCAGTGGAAGGCGGGGGACCGATCTCCTGTCGGTTTAATGAGGTCACCTTCCTGGACTTTTGCGCGGCTTTCAAGTATACTGGCGTGCAAGAACCACAGCCTCGCAGGCGGCCTGCAATCGTCGGCTACCAGAACTTCAACCCGGACGAGGAGGCCGAAGCTTTCTACTACTCCAAGTTGCTGCTGCACCTGGTGTGGAAGGAACCGGGAGATTGGCTGTTGGAGCAGGACGCGGGAAGCCATGCAGCAGCGTTCCAGCGCATCGCCCGAGATGTGCACGGCCACCCAGACTTCCTTCGGTCGAGATGCTTCCCTCAGCTAGATGGGAACGTCGACGCCGCCCGCAAGCTGCAGGCCGTACAAGCGACGATGTACATGAAGGCCAAGATGCATCCGGCAAACCTGCGGGACGGCTGGGCCAACAGCAAGATTGCCGAAGAGAACTACAAAGATTCTTTGCAAATATTGGAGGCACTGAAGGAGCGGTATGGAGGAGACATCGACTTCCTGGCCCCGGACTCTGTGCCCTCCGGAGCTGCCCTCAACGCCTTCGCGCCGGTCGAGGAAGGCGAAGAATCCTTCGAGATGTTGACGGTTGAGAACCCCAGCCCAGAGACCATGCGCCAGTGCCAAGCCATGAAGCACATCATCCAGTCAGTTCTGAAGCAGCCGAACACCAAGGACACGCAGAATACCCAGCGTCTGCACATGCTCCTCCACGGGCCCGGCGGCAGCGGCAAGTCCGTTGTGGTACGTGCAGCAGCTCATGTCTTGCGGCAAAGCAAGAAAGGATGCATCATCGCGGCACCAACAGGTGTGGCGGCCTTCAACATCAACGGCGTCACCCTTCATCAATGCTGCTTGCTGCCCGTGGTGAACCAAAGCTACGGCAAGGCCTGCGACATGCCGCTGCCAGAGCGCCAAAAGTTAGCCACGCTCAGAGACATCTGGTCGAAGGTCAGTGCGCTGTTCGTCGACGAGATGAGCTTCATCCCCTCCTGGATGTTGGAGCGTCTGGATCAGCATCTCCGTCTTGCTAGGGATCTGCCGACCCTGCCCTTCGGAGGACTGCACGTCATCTTTGCCGGGGACCTGTATCAGTTGCCTCCGCCAAGCGGGCTGCCGGCCTTCGCCAGCCGGCTTTGGCTGCTCTTCCAGCTCTGCGAGTTAGAAGGAAACCAGCGGGCCGCGCGCGACCCAGCCTGGGCCGCTCTGCTGGCACGCGTTCGGGTGGGACAGCAGACCGACGCCGACATTGAGGTGCTGCGGAACATGGTGATCAAGAAAGGCAGCAAGAAGCGGCCCGCCCCGAAAGCCGTGAACCTATACGCCACTCGCCAAGCAGTCGCCGAAAGCAACCGCCGCTACAAGGAAGAGCACGTCTTGAACACAGGAGAACAGCTACACGACTGCCCGGCTATCGACACCAACGTCAAGACCGGTGCGCCACTGTCTCCAGACGCCGTCTGGGCCGAGCCGGAGAACACGGGTGGCTTGGTAGGCCTGCTGCAGGTGGCCATTGGGCTCCGTGTCATGCTCAGATACAACATCGACGTGCGAGATGGCTTGGTCAATGGCGCCTGTGGCACGGTGGAGCACATTGACACCGAGAAAGCCGGCGGGGAAGTCGAGAGGATCTGGGTTTCTTTTGAGAAGAATGCTGGGGCCACTTGGCGAGCAGAGCACGAAACCTCCTGCGTGGCAATCTCGAGGCGCTCGGCCACGTACCTTGACAGAGACGGCAGCAAGGCATCGAGGCATCAATTCCCACTCGTTCTCGCCAAAGCCATCTCGATCCACAAGAGCCAGGCAGCTACCTGTAAGGACGGAGCGCATACCCGCCTCGATCACACCATCTTCGCAGAAGGTCAAGCCTACGTCGCCCTGA